AGGTTGGGGACCACTGCTATACAGTATTTCAGTTCCTTGCCAGAAAGAGGAAAAAACACCTTTTATCTCCAAGTAGAATATTCTAGCCACTAGATGGCATAACTGAATCAACTTTTCAATGAAGGATCTTTCAACCTCAACTGACTGTACCTCAGATGACTCAAAAGAGATAGATGAGTTATTGTGATACTAAAATATCAGTAATTTATTAGCATGTAAAAATGAAAGATTACCTACAATCTGTGATGCCAGTATGAGCTTTAGCTCCAATAACTGATTCTTTAGAACTTATAAATATATGGGAGGTTCAAATCTCAAAAAGTTTACACAGAGAAATGGCCTAGTGAGGGGTACAGTATTTATTGTCTCTTCATTACTTCTGGCTCAAGTGCTTCCTATTTACAAAGTAAAACACTTTTTATTACAAACTATATTCCACTTATTCTCAAAGTGAAACTGTTTATTTTTTCTCACAAATACTATGTATAAATAGTTACTTCCCCATCTAAAGCATTTAGAAAAACAATCCTGTTACTTGTAAACTGTGCACATTTGATAGGAAGTCCCTGAAAAGTGCACATGTAACTTCTTCATATAATTTTAACATACACCCTTCAGAGCAGAACTGCATTTGAAACAATAGGAATGATGAGTTCAAGTATGGAAAAGAGTTGAAATTTAGATCAATTAAAAAACATTGCCCTATTGGCAATATACTGCCACATGACAGATCTATGTTTGAATTCATGTATTGCCCTCTTGCCTACTTGGCAAGCTGCAACAATACTTATGTTATGTACAGGTAATTAAACCGCCAATCCTCCCCAAAACCAAAAATTTTACCACAGTAAGTGGCACTGTAAATGGCTCGTTGTCAGCAGGAGCACTCTCCTGTTGACAACACAAATGCTGGTTCTAGGAGTAGAAGTATTTTGTTGGCAAAATGTGCCAACAAAGTGTTCACTCTGTCCGACTTTTAGTGACTCAGCTGTATTGACACAGCAGTGTTGCTAAAAGCATAGTAGTGTAAACAAAGCCTCTGTATTTCTCTCTTCCACCCACCTGAAGAAAGGTCAGTAACCAAGGCCTTGATACTGGAACAGTAAAGTCCCTTTTTAAGTATTAGGATGAAAGGTTTTCTTTGAGAACAATTAAATTAAAATGGTCCCACTTGCCTCCTCAGGCACACTCTGCTGAAAAAACAAGAAAACACCATGGCTATGTCTACACTGCAGGCTTCTTGCACAAGAATAATTTTGCACAAGAGTTCTTGTGCAAAAGTTCTTGTGCAAGAGTGCGTCCACACCAGTCAAAGCGCATCGCAAAAGTGAAGTGCTTTTGCGCAAGAGTGTCCATACTGGTGGGATGCTCTTGCACAAAGACCTCTCCCCCCCCCCCCCACAACTTAGGACAGGGCAAAAGGGCACCAGGACCTTCCAGGGGCAGGGGCTGGAGCTCCTTTGAGACACGTGCTTAAATGGATCTCCCTGGACAGCTGTTTCTCTGCTTTGGGACCTCTGGTAGGGACTGAAAGCTATAGTAGTGCCTGTTGTAGTTGCTCTCTGCCTCATTGGATACCACAGCTTGTGCCCTAGTGCTTTTGGGGACTTTTGCCTTCTGCTTGCTGTGCCACGGAGCCAGGGATGGCCCTGTGTCTGCTCTGGCTCCACATGACCATTTTGGAGTGCGTGCAGATGCTGTTCTACGCTGCCTCACTACTCCTGCACAAGCTCGATGCCGAGTTCACTCCAGACTCCCTCTCCCTAGATGCGGTGGCTTCGCTGTGGCATCCCTACTCAACTGTGGAGAGGCGATACTGGAGATTCAACACAAGTTCTGACTAGTGGGATCAGCTGGTCCTGGGACAACCAGCTATGGGACAACCAGCAGTGGCTTCACAACTTCAGGATGAGGAAGCAGACGTTCCTGAAGCTGTGTGGCTGGCTTGCCCCTGCGCTTCTCAGACACAACATCCAACTGCGGCCTGCCATCCCCATCAACAAGAGAGTCGCCATTGCCCTGTGGAAGCTGGCCACTCCAGACAGCTGCCACTTGATGGCACACCAGTTCGGGATGGGCAGGTCCACAGTGGGTGCCATCTTGATGCAGATAAGGCCCTCGGGGGGGACTGCAGTCCCTGCCTGGGGGAAGGGAAGACGCCAGGCTGGGAGAGGTGCTGGGGGACGGGGTAGGGAAGCCCCATCACCCAGGGGCTCGTGCTGTCCCTCCCTCACACAGGCCTGCTGGTGTGTGGGGTGGGCTCCAGGGCTAAGGGGCCCTGGCATGTTTGGGGGGGGAGAGGGTATCGCAGAGGGGTGGGCACCCCCCAAAGGCTCATGCCCCTGCCCTGCCTCATTCTGTGCGTTCCCTGTGTTTCTATGTGCCCTTCTGCAGGTTGTCCGAGCCATCAACGACATCCTGCTCAGGAGGGTGATCCACCTGCGGGATGTGGATGCAACCGTGGCTGGCTTTGCTGCCCTGGGGTTCCCCAACGGCCGGGGAGCCGTGGATGGGACCCATATCCCCATCCAGGCACCAGAGCATCAAGCGGCCCAATTTCATCAATAGGAAGGGGTACTTTTCGATGGTGCTCCAGGCCCTCGAGGACCACCATGGCCGCTTCATGGACATCTATGTAGGGTGGTCGGGCAGGGCACATGATGCCCGCATCCTCAGAAACTCCAGCCTGTTTCGCAGGATGGAGGTGGGCAC